ACATTTAGTTAACTAAAACTATATCCACCTTATCGAATTGCATCAGTTATGTTACTAATATTTAATACTCTCAAATTCTATTAATTGAATGGACGACCGACCTTCCATCAGCAGCAGCAACGCCATTCCCATCACCGCTCTTTGTTCTATTTTTCACATAGTTCATTGTTGATTCTGTTTGTATTGTTTACATCACTGCAATTCGTTGTAACTACATACTCAAGCACACGTACGATCGTAGTCATCGGAGTTGCTGTTCTTCGTTGGCATCATTATTAGTGCTGTTGCCATTGTTGGCAGCGAATTATGTCATTCGCCATTAATTTCAACAACAGGATGCGCACAATCGTTGCTTACCGTGATGTTCATTGATGTTGCAACGGCGGCCACATGGCATACATATAATAGCGAATCATAAGCGAAAAGGCAACGGAGAAAAAATAGATAAATGAAATTCACGGGCCAGGTGATGGAGAGGCACACAAGCTCGCACAGATACGAGTACGAGTGGCTCAGTGCTAGGAGGACGACGCGCATTCAACGTTCGCAATCAGTGTGGCAATGCAATTGTTGCAACATAAACAATAAAATCAAAGAACACCGCCGGTAATGACAATAACGGCAACAGCAACTGCAACAGCAGCTGCAGCCATAACAACAAAAGCAGCGCCAACAGTAGCAGCAGCAGCAGCAGCAGCAATCAAAGTAGCAAAAGCGTTGCGAGCAATGAAGGGTACTAATAACAACAACAACAGCAATAATAACAATTGAATTGTTTGCAACTAAAGTACAAGTATGTAGTACTACATATTGGTCTGTCTGTCAACAGCTTTCATCGCTGTCATCCACTTTAACTATTTGTCTCTCTGGTGCTGTGTGAAATTCGCGTGTCTTTCAGACCGGTGCCACACGCTACCAACATACACGCTAACGGCAAAATGCCATACATTGTTTGTTGCTTCTTGTTATAGTACCTAGTTTTCTTTTTGTTGTAATCATTGCCGTTGGCCTCACCACGAACGAGTATTTGGCTAGTTGTCCTTTCGTTATGTTCATTTAGGTTGGCATTTAGTTGTTGTTGTTGCATTTTGTATATTTATCCAGCTGCTCTTATTTGCTACTTACCATTGGCTCCCTCTGTGTTGCCTTTTACTGGCACAGTTTCTCTATTATAATTGCTGCTACATAGTGGTGCTTGGTGCACCTTTGCTTCGAATAGTTTTCTCGTTGCTTTGTCGGTATTTTTCAGTTGCTCATTATTTATTCTTTTCATTTGCTATTTTCCGCTTTTGCGCGCGTGCCCCTCTTGTCACATGCTTTTAATCAGCTCGAAGGATAAAGCAACACCTACAAATACATACATGCAACGTGCAAAATGTTGCACAAACACTTTATAAAACATATGCACACTCATACATACACATATTTTTTTAAGCTCACAGGATGCAGCAGTCAACTGAAAGCAACAGCAATGTCATCCAATCTTTAGATTCTAAAGCTAATTTGAAGCTTTGACGCTTTAGTCTTAGCAATTCACCCAATTTGAGTTGCTCGCAAAGGTAAAAGTATCTAGCTGTAGGTAATTGGCAACAACCGATCCATTTGCATTGTTTGAATGTTAATTTTTTCGAGCAATATACTTAAGTATGTATGTATGTATGTAGATCTGACCCTGTGATTGTCGTTCACTCGAAGGTCTAATGAGACCCTCCTCAATGTGTTAATTTGATACAATTTTGTTGTGGTGTTAAGAAGCCGAAAGGTTGCGCAGGTATACATAAGCAGATACGTATATATGTACATAGTATATACTTATGTATTTCGTGGTCTTTTGAATGTTATTCAACTTCATTTTCTACGTGGATACGCTTTAGTCTTTTACCTGCTCATTTTGTTGTCCATCGACTTCCACTGCAGCTAATTAAGTTAGTTAAAGTCGATTGGCCGACAGCGCCGGCAGCAGAAAGTCAATGGAGAGTACTTTGTGGTAGTCAGCAATTTGCTTTTCATTTAATTAAGCTGTTTTTTTTTTGTTTTGTCCCTAAAAAGTGACACAATTAGGGCATTGACAAGGCGCGTTAAGCATCGGAATAGCTTAAGTCTTTTTTTGTTGCTATGTAAAGTAACGACTAAAAAAATCTCTAACTGAACCTAAATGTTTTGTACTAGAAGCAAATATATAATTAGCTCTTATCACACACAGCGAATCCTTTAAAACCATTTTAATCGTTAATTTACATAAAAAATCCTGAGGAATTAACATATTACGCCTTATGAATCCCCTAAATATACATACGTAAACACATGCATATGTACATAGATAACCCACGTTTAATAATATACAAAATTATTTAAAACTTTCCATTTTTGGGAAAACGTAATGAAAGTCTGGTGTCAATTCATACAGTTGGTATACAAAAGGACAGATGGTAAGACCCATATCTTCGCCATTTTCGGAGAAGTGTAGTTATCTGTTAGGCTGAACATATTCTCCTTATCAATCCTTATCCTTATTGTATGCGATATATGGATATATATATATATATTTTAGTGGGATTATGAAAAACTACCATTATATTTTTTAACCCTTTGTTACCATTTTCTAAACTAGTCAGCCAAAAACACCTCAACCCTATTTTTCACGACTATTGTGTGCAAAATGATAATAAATAAAAAAATAAAAATAAAGGATGTGTCTGGGCATGGTCTACGGCCATTTCCATTGTCTGCTGAGTGGCGAAAGCTACTAGGAAAAAAAAAACTTTTTTTTTGTTTTTGATATTGGTCGGGCTCGAACCCAGACTTGCGGAATAGTTTAGAACTAGGCAAAGTAATGTTAGGTGACCTTGCTCAAATGGATCGCGTATATCGTCTAAAAACCTTCATAACTGCCGTAGAGCACGAGAAGCCAGCTCTGAGACCAGACTGCAGGGGACTCAGTAGCTTATTTAAGGAGATACTTTTTTTAATTAAGCAACTTTCTTTTGTAATTAAAAACTCAGAACAAACTTCGATCTGAACATAGTTATAGTCAAAAAACTGACTAGAATCGTTAGAAAATTTAAAAATTTGACATATGTATTTTACATGAGAAATACTAAACACAGATACTACCCCCAACTTTAGTTTCCTAATTCGGACCAAAACTAATTCTATGCGTATTTGAGTTCGCCTAAAAGCTTTGCATTTTCCACACAAATAACCAAAGGCACCGGTTACATCTCAATTGTTTAGATTTTACAAATGCAGAATTGTTTATTTATATTTGCATTATTTAGTTATTTTTCATTTCACATTTTTCTATACACTATATACATGCATACATACATACAATGCGTTTCCATGTCCGGCACATTGCAGAAAACCAGAAACAGCCAACGCAAAAGAGACAATTCAATCAATTTAACGAAACAAAAGCTTTTTGAGCCATTGATTGGATATTGAGGGCAAAGTGATGGCCACAGAAAATAAAAATTCACCACACACACACACACAAATGCATGCACATACATACAAATGGCCACAGCCACGCTTGAGCACAAAAGTGGATCAACACCAGCGTAGAATTCAAAGGATACAATAACGGATGTACAGAGAAGCAACGACAATTCTACATAAATATTTAGTTGCATAAGTATGCGCATGTGTGCGCCATTTTATCAGTAGTGTAAATATGTGTGTATTTCACACACACACAGGAAAAAGATATATTTTGATTCATTGTATGCCAGTGCTAACTAACTAAACTAAAAGCCAACGCCAAAGCAAAAGCGACTAGCGCACCAATATTGAAGCGTAAAATTTTCGCATACACACCAGTAAATATGTATTTAGGTGCAAGTATGTATGTAGTATGCCTGTTTGCAAGAGAAATTGAAAATGGTCAGTTTAAATACGTTTGCACATAACGAAGTATGTATGTATTTAAGAGTGTGTTTGTAAAGGAAGCAAAGACATAGGAGAAATTCATCAACGGTTCGTTGAATACTTTCAAATGCGAGCAAATAAATGAGCGTCTGACCTGGTTGTACTAGAGGCTACATTCCACCAGGCCAACAACAAAAGTCGAGCCACAACAACTACCAACCGCATACATACATATACTGGCGATTACAACCATTGCCAAATATCATTTTTCACCAAAAAGTTTGCCCGAAATTCATCAAACTCTAGCGACAACACCTGTAATATTAGCACAGACTTTTGCTGTATCCAGTAGGAAAATTTGGGTTTGGGATTTGTGACGTACGCTTCAAGTTATCTTAGATTGAAAACTTTTTATACATATTAAATACAGTACACTCACTCTGTAGGCGGTGCGATTTTGATTATTGAATCAAACGACATACATACATAGTTTTTTTTCTGGTATTGCGATCGCCGGAATCGGAGTCTGGACCTCGCAATGGCAATTAATGGGCTTTGCAGCATTGGTCAGAGTCAACAACTGTTAGATTTTACAACGCTCTTTCACTATTATGCCGTGGGAAGTAATAAAGCCTTTAACTTCATCTTTACTGAAGTGTGTTTTTTTTTAATTGGAAATTTATTATTAATTTCTTGAATAGTTAAGGGATAACTACCTTTTCGCTGAAATTTAGTATATAGTATTTACAAACAAAAACAAACATCTGAGTAAACAGCATAACTAACAATACAATAAGCATTTATGCTAGGGTCCTTTTTTCATTTTTTATTGTTTTAATAAAAAAATAATAATTCAGGAATAAACGCCAAAGTAGTTAAAATAATCAAACATTAGAAGTTGGTACAAAATGCTTTGACGGAAATGGAAAAATTTATGAAAGGCTTCTGTAATTTGATTTGTTTTAGTCAGATTTTAGAAATACTAAGCACATACGTAAATATTTTAAGAATTTTGTGTGTAAATAAATATTTCTTAGAAATGGTGAGATTCATAAATATGCACATAAGTACATACATATCTACATATGTATGCAAATAAATTTTTTTACATACCTTAATCAAATTTTTTATTTTAGTAGGACCCTCTAGAGCGTTTCTTGAAAAATGAAGTGTTTAGTTTACCTTTTCCCGATGAAATCTGTAAAAAAATATTTGATTATTAGTTTTTGTTTGCCTCTTAAGCCGGTAAGAAAAATTTTGAAAACGATCTTTATAATTATTACATACGTACATAATTATAAACTTTTATTCGGACATTGTTTAAATATGCATTTTGCTTTTACCAACTTTTGAATTTTGAACATCTAACACACATACACATACATAAATGCATATACCTAGTCAAATGCTCCCACCTACACTCACACACATACAAAAAAAGTACAGAGTTGTACCTGAAGAACTTTTTTTCATACAAATACATTTGTACCTATGCCGACCACTTACGTAAGGTTAGAGTACCCGATCACATGATTGTTACACAAGAGAAGTTTATGTGTTGCAACCTGCTCAAAAAGTTTAAAAAAATTAAATCAGTAATTTTAGTTAAACATTTTACACATACAGGTGTCAGTAGAAAGGAATTATAAAAGGCTCTATGTCCTTTTATATATTTCTGAAGAGGGTTTCCAAATGTATAAAAATTCAGAATAAATTTAGTAAGAAAATGACATAAATGAAATTGGTTTATACGGGTAGAAAACGAGAGAGGTTCAAGCAAGTATTATTTAATGAGAGGTTAAATGAAATACATGTTGCAATACGACTGTATATCGAAAGAGCTTAAAGAAAGATTTTTCTCCAAAACTATTTTTTTGGAAAGGGTTGCTACCTCTTTTAAACGTCAAATTTACTCTTACTAAATTTAAATATTATATCAAACTAACTTACATATTTATATCAACTTATTTTGTAAGAATTTTATCGTCTTGGTCTGCTGGTTGTCTCGGAGACACAGCCGCTAAATTTAAAAGTAGAATACGTGGTATGGTTAAGAGCACATCCAAGTCAAAAACGAAAGCACACACTAAGAAAAAAATATCGATAACAAAAGCGATAATAATATCCATAGCAAATTCGATAAAAAAATCGATAAATACATCGATATCAATAACAAAATGGATAATAATATCAATAGCAAAATTGATAGCAAAACCGATAAGAATATCGATAACAAAATCGATAAAAACATCGATAACGAATTTGATAACAAAATCGATTACAAAATCTATAAAAAATCGGAAAGTTCCGAAAATATCGATAGCAAAATCAATAACCATATCGATAAAAATTTCGATAACAAAATCGATAAAAAAGATCGAAAACAAAACCGACCACAAATCTTTGATACGAACCAAAAACCGAACCACTTTCTTTAAAGGTTTAAAGGTTCGTTTAAACCAAGTTTCAATAGATAAATGTACCCACTTTTTTCTTTTTGTTAAACATGGTAATACCTACCATGTTTGTTTACCATGTGACAATATCAAATGTAAAGGCAACCTATCTCTATCTCTAGCATTTTTATAGGATGAAATGCTTTTTTTATTTCCATGTTATGAGCTTTTTCAAGTGATTTCACTTGATTTTCACGTATTTTTTATACAGTAAACTATCACCACTGGAATTTTATAAAATAGTATATTTTTAAATGATTTTAAAATGTTTTTTTGCTTCTCCTGTAAAATAAAAAAATTCTTGGTTAGGGCCTTTGTGAATTAAAGTGACGATATGCATATATGTATGTATCAAAAACCCTTTTGAGAAAAAGAATTTAATATCACGTAGTTTTCTGTTTACCGCCATCACAACCCTCTCTTCACCCCTGTGCGTTGCGCTGTAGTCCCCCTTGGTAGCATTGGCATGCCTGGATGTGGACCAATTCAATGCACAGCCAACTAGCCAACCAATGAAAATCGATGATTTTAATTAGTGGCATACAAACATGCATACAATCACAGAATCCCTGCAGAGCAACCCCAAACTAGTCGGGAAAAATACTAGTTTACAACTAGAATTTCCTCACTGAAACCATACTAGTTCGAAAATGACCAGACTTGTACCAAGTAGAAAACGATTTATTCATCCCCTGTTTTATTTGACTTCGACAGTTTAATGCAATGAATTACACAAAATATTATAACTCTTATTTGGGTATATTGTAAACCGTTAAAGCGAGTACGTATTCAATTACACCAGACATGTTAAATAATTATTAATGTTCATAATGATTATTAAATAAAGCATGTTTTTTTGGATAACCGTTTAATGATTAAATACCGGTATTAGCACCTTTTTAATGATTAATAATTAATTACTTAAAAAAATTAAATTAATTGATTAATTTTAGTTACATCATTATTTTGTTATTTTTGACAATTTTTAGTTACTTTTGACTTTTGTTTATTACACGATTAATATAATTATTTGATTAATTTCAATTATCAATCAACAAGCCAAACTGTAGACAAAAACTAAAAAAAATTAATAACTGCTTGAATTATTTATTTATTTTATTCTTATCCAAATCACAAATTTTAAATATTAATTATTACTTTTATTAAATTTTCAAAATAAAGGACTGAAATGTGCAAAGCTAATGAATGCAATTTTTTTTAATGATAACTTTTATTTTTATTTTAGTTCACTCAAAAATGAACTAAAGTATTAATTTTATTTTTAACTAAAATGTTTTCTTTGCAAATTAAATATTATTAACATAGATAAAAAATATAGTATTTCTTGTAGCTGAAAGCTTTTACTTTTAATAACATTTATTTAATGGAAAATACATTAAAATTTCTGTTCGAAAGTTTGATATATTTATGTATTTATTTTTTGTTTTAATTAATACTCAAAAAATTCAACACTAATTATTGGCCAATCTATGGCTGCTAAATAAAAAATATGTAATATATTAAAGAGTACTTAATCAAAAGTTTTTTTTTGTATATTCATGAATTCATTTTATTTTTTGACTCCCAAAGTAGTGGTTTTGGCCCATAATTGGACTAGTATTTTCACGTCTATTTTGAATTAGAATGAGACTGGTATATTTCTGACCGAAATCTGACAACTGCCATCTCGTAGGACGTTCCCATGTTAAAAATACCAGTTGATTGCATGCAAGAAAGATAGTTGGCTGACTAGTTGGGCATGCGGGTCATACTAGTTGGGAGGTAGTTTTCAACTAGTACATTTGACGACAGGGATGCTACAAAAGATGCACATACTCAAACACATGTTATGTGTTGCATAAGTAAATATCAAAATGGAATATAAGCTGGCCTGTGCGCAGCATTTCGCCGGCATAAAACAGAGCGAAAAGTGGATTGCAAGCAAAACCACGACGCGACATTCGGACGTTGAGTTTTTGGTCCAATTAGGCAAGCAAAGGCTAAATTCTGTTGAAAATTGGTAGTGGGTGGTAATGGGTTGTGGAATGGATGACCTCGTTATGCGAAGTTTCTATGAAAAATTGGCTATTGACTGATTTTGCGCGCCCACGCGTTTTCATAAGTATCGTCTTGTATATATGCAGTTATGTAACTACATATACATATGGATATGTCTTTAGTACGCATGTTAAATATATCCAAGCCAACCAGCGGAGTCCGCAAGGTGTACAATTCGGACTCCCTGTGCGGTGAGCTTATGCTCCTAGGTAGGCTCTGAAAAGAGTCCCAAAGAAGCATAGCCTCGGGAGAAAAATGCCTTTCAATATATTTGAAAAGGACTCCTTAAATGAGTGATTTCGAAGTCCAAGAATGCTCCCTCTGATAATCCGCAAAGATTCGGTCTGGAGTCCTCTATGCGCCTACGATTTTATGAAAATCATCCGAAGATAACTTAGACGTAGTATTTTGGGAATGCTCTGATAATAGACCAGAAAGTAGGAGTCACAGTTTTTCAAAATGCGCCAACTTTAATTATATAATTTAAATTTCTTCATCACTTCTTTTTATTGAAAAAATGTAAATTAAAAAAAAAAATAATATTTTACATTTCTGTAAAAAAAAAAAAAAATTATGAAATAAATAAAAAAATTTTCTTTTTTTAAAACGTTTCAGTGTAGTGTGGAACTACTCGCTCTATTTTTTTTTTTTGAACCACTCTTTTTTTAAGCCGAATTACGGTAAATTGCAAATATGTATCTCGAAAATATATCCATACCAAAAAAATTAAGTCGATTTTCGGAATCACCGAGCATATCTATATAGGTATTGGCAGTGTAATTTATCAACAGAGCTTTTGATTTCTGTGCTAGACTTCCAATTCTTGATAAATTTCAAAAAGTTTACAAATTATAAAAAACATTTATTTACCAATTACCAAGTGCACAGAATCAGGCTGTTAGTGTATAAAAACTTATGTATCTAAACTAAAGCATGATGAGCATCAAAATCATCGCCTAAAAGGCACAGTAATATCCCAGTTAGCCAAATGCAGAGCGCTCCAAATATGAAGTAAAAAAGGACTACCATAGAAACACCAGGAAGGAGCGTTTTTGGAGCGCTCCGAATATGGAGTGGAAAGCGAGCCAAAGTGTTTTTTGTTATCTTATTTTCCTCATAGAAATTGGATAGTGGTGTTTGAAAGAATCAGGCTTGCCATATTTTCGTTTTAGTATTTCTCAAAAATAAATGAACGCACACATTCTTTTTCAGACAAATTTGTTTGCTAAAAAAAGGAAACACAAAAATAAAATATTTCCGCTTCTGGCTTAAGTTGACTTGTTGAGTAATCAGTAATGATTTCTTATGGTAAGTTAAATTAAGTTAAGTCTAGACGAACTGAGCTTTTAGCCGCCCACGATTCGTCAGCAATTAGCGAATGGCGAACCGAACGAAATCACTGAGATGCAACCAAATTCACCAACGTTCATCGCTGTTAGCTAACTTTGTTATTTCTAAATTTGTTGTTGCTTTCACATACACATTTCTCTCTAAGCTAGCACCGATGAACTCAAACAAGCATCCAAGGCGCCTATAGTACACGTATGTATGTAAGCACATACAGAGGTACAGAGCTACACACTCTTACATTCATATTGGTCCATTTATAGCCGCCACGCTTACATATTCACATTTAAGTTCATTAAAAATCACGAAGCGTTTCATATTTCCGAGGACATAAACG